TCAACACACACGTGCACGTGGCCGAGGCCGCGGGAGTGGGATTCGCGAAGGTGGCGCGAGGAGGCGCACTTCGCACGCCACATCGGAGCAGAAGGAGCCTCTCCCCGAGTATCTTTTTGGTACAAAATCGAGAGGAGAAGAAAAAATAAATTGGTTTTATTTTAAAACAAATCGGTTTATGATTTGGTCTTCCACGTTTTTAGAGATAATGGCCAGTTGAGAAATATCCTCATCATTATCTGCGATTTGTGAGGATTTCGTGGAGCAGTAGTCGGCTTCAACTAGTATATAAACTGGGTTGAAGCCAGTTCGAAATACACAGAAAAAACCAGTCTCTTCTCTCCTTCGATTTATGCTTTCGAGTTTATTTTCTCTCTACCGTTTTTCTGCATCCACCGTGTTCTATATTCGTTATTGATCGCTGTTCATAGACGAATCGAATACTGCATCAAATCGTGGTGCTTTGCGACTAGCAGACTCACAGCGTGAATAGAGTGGTCGTATAAAACCTTAAAGGACAGGTTTTACTATGCAGATTACAATACAAATCGACAATTTAATTATGTTGGTTTTATATTTTACGCATTGTATTTAATTTTCTGTTTACTAAATGAACAACTCTGCTTCTACTCCTTTCTTTCATTGAATCTATCGTGAAGGATAGATTCAATTTGTGTGATTTGACACTTTGTTGAGGTATTGTGGGTTCTGAACTATAAAAGGTTTAATTTTGTTCGTTAAATATTTAATAGAAATTAAAACTTTATTTTGTTCCATCTATCTTATTCGAATATTTTTTAACAGACACTATGATGACAGAGGTTGCAAAGGAGAGGAAGAAGAGCCTAGGCTTTGATACCATAAAGGAGGGTAATGAATTGTAATCTCTTGTCCTCCTCATTCTATTCCAAAGTTACAATAAATAAGAGGTTACATCTATACATTAGGATAGGATCACCCTGAAATATAAATACACATCAGTTACATATTTATCTCAATCTTGACCGAGATTATCGTCTATTATATAGTCCTTTATTTTAATTTCTAGCCGTTATGGGACGTAAGTTATCGTAATAAAGATTTTGGTTGGTATGGAACTTTTATAATATAACTTGGTGGTGTATTATGTACCATAGTGGGTGATCATGTTTATTGACGACATCATGTTGGAATCAGTAATAAATATTAGTGAGCGTCAAGGAAAAAATATTAGTTTCATGAAGTTTATCGAACAGTTAAATTTATAACAACCGGTCACTAAAAACAAATTACGAGTCAGAATAAAACAAAACAAAACGAAAAGAGTAAAAAAAATTTATCTTTTACTTTTAACTAGAGATAAAAATATTGTTACAAGTGAATCCAAAAGAGTTTTAAGCGTTATATTTTGGCCACAATTGACGGAAGGGGTTTATGTTCAACCCTTGAACTTTACATAAATGATGAAATAGTCCTTAAAGCTTTCAAAGTGGAATTATTGGGCCAAATAATAGAACGACTTGATGGACATCAATATTTTGACTATTATTTATTTATATGTAAATCGACAAATTTAATGATAAGTAACCATGACGAATGATCGTTTGAGACAGAGAGTTAAAATGAGAAGCGTAAGAAAGAATTTGGATCATTGATCACCTTTAACCTCAAACTCACTCATGAATCGTGCTTGATATTGGGGTTGATCTGGTGTATCTCATTCTAATGTGCATCTAAAGGTGGAGATCATTTCTTATACTTCTCACTGGAACCAAACCCAGTACTCACCGGAATCAACAAAAAGCTATATTTTAAAGGTGAAGATGAAACTCCTAGTTTAAAGCCGATCGGTCCAACCACTTAATTACAGCATTTTGATATTTATGAAAAAACATCTCAAATAAAAAAAGTTTAATACATTTTTTCCAATCTTTTCTTATTAAAAAGTTATATTATTTTTAATTTATATTCAACAAGTTATAAAATGTTCTCTTAATCATATCAAAGACATAAGACATGATACGGTCATTGATTGCAAAGGGTAGGTGGGGTTTTGTTAGTTGGAATCCCACAAAACTTGAAGAAATTATAACGAAATTCCATTTAAGTGTTTGGTTTATCGTTCGAGTTTTATCATGAAATTTAAATGCCTAAGGTTTTAGAAAGGAATTTCATTTTCATTTCATCTCATCTTGAGAAAGACTATTATGTCGTTATATTTAGGGATTTTGTTTTTAAAAAAAAACCTCTTAAAACCACTTAAGTCTGAATCGGTCAGACATTTATGTTTTCAGACTGTTTGATTTCTTTGTAAAATAAGAGCTGAAAAGCTCTTACCGTCCTCTGAAATATTCAGTGCAAAACCAAAGTCTGAAATCAATATCACTCTTCTCCTAATGCTTCTTTCTGTATTTGGGTGGTATGGAAAGGCTTTCATCATCCAGATTCCATTGATCCAACAACACAAGGAACCCAAATTCCACCAAAATCAGGATTTGCAATTACTCGAAYGGCATGAAGCGATGAAGCGATGAGTGTCGATGCCCTAAAACGAGCCTTGAAGCGATGAGTGTCGATGCCCTAAAGCGATTCATCAGACTCAATTTGGGGAACTGGACTGGTTCTTTTCACGTCGGTATCGTAACTCGTATGAATTCTTCTGGATTAAAAGTTGTTTCGTTGTTAATTTAACTCGATCTTTTCTTCTTCCTCGTGATCCAAGCAGGTCTCAATCTCTTATACTGCCTCTCGATCCAAGCAGCTGTCGGTCTCTTCTTCTGCCTCTCGATCCAAGCAGCTGTCGGTCTCTTCTTCTGCCTCTCGATATCTCAAGAAAGGTAATGGGTCTTCTGTTTATATGTTTTCTTTTTGTTTGATTTGGCATAAGAAACACCATGGAAATACCTGAGGATCGATTTGGGTTTCTTATAATAGTTGACTGTTTATCTGTTTATCTATTTTCTTGATTTGGATAGACCTGCTTATCTGTTTTTTTTCTTCATTTGATTGCATTTGGTGAATTCCCTTTTAGAATTATTATCCATATGTTTCTTGCATCAGTTGTTTTTACTGCAGTTTGCAGTGAAAAATACATGTTCCAATGTTGATCCTTGTAGCATTCCATAATGTTATTTACACTTTCTTTAGATACAATTTGTTCCTTTATTCTCTGGATCTCGATTGTTTTCTCAATTTGTTCCTCAGTTTCTAATGGACTCCCTGGATGTTAACTTATTCTGCATTTTGATTCTGTGTGATTGAAATATGGGAAACTGATAAAATCGTTATGAGAATTCTATGTGTTGCTTATCAAGTTGGGAATGATTGACATTTGGAGTGCCGGAGATAGAATTATGATTATGGTTTTATTAGCTTCTATTATGCTGATCTGTTTAGGAGTACAACACATAGTTGTATAATATATACAGGGGTTTCTCAGTGATAGAAGTCGGATTAACCATAGAYATTTGCATAACGATTCTAAATTGGACTGCTCAAAATTGTTTGGTTTGTGCAGGTCAAAATAATGAGGGCCCTCCAGTATGCCCCAACGCTCTCAAATGTTTCTTGTTACAATAGTGTTGTCTTTCCAAATAGACAATAAACCATCATGGATATACATGTTTGATATGAGTAGCAAAAATTCTTCTACCAACGGTCCGTCTCAGGTTCAACCATACTTCGATACCTCCAATAGAARGGTTAGAAAGATTGAAGATGAAGAGTCTATTGGTCAGCGTAGAAAGAAGGTTCGAACATCTAATGATGGGTCTGGTCCATCTCAAGAAACCAGGAGATCAACCAGAACTTCTTCACGGTTA